AGACCAATGGAAGAAGAACAAGAAGCACTACCAGAAGAAAATCAACAAAGACCAAAAGATGACAGACCAATAAGAGAAATAAGAAAACCAGTAAGATTTAACGACTATGTTTTGTTAACTAACTAAGGTATAGATTTTCATGAGACTTTCAGTAAATATTAATTGCTTACGAGTACTTTTTGCATTAGCAGCAAATAAAGAATATTGCATTAAGAAATTTGATATTATAAAACAGCTTTTTCATATGGTGAATTGGATGAGGAAATATTTATGGACGTTCCTGAAAGATATGAAACTAAAAATCAGTTATGATTGCTTAAAACAAGCTCCATTTAATTGGAATAAAAGATTCACGACATTTTTATTGAGAAACAGACTTAAAGCATTGAAAACAGAGCGCTGTGTTTTTAAAAATGATACTGGTACTATTTTTCTTGCAATATAATATGTAGATGACGGTATCTTTTTTGGTGTTCAACAACAAGAAATTATAGATTTTTTATCAGAATTGAATACAGAGTTCCAAATGGTTGCTTGCAATAATCCATCATCTTTTTTGAGCATTGATATTTTAAAAAATCAAGAACACATTGTGTTGAGTCAAGTAAAATATACCAAGAAGGTCCTAAGAAACTTTTCCATGGAGAATTCAAAATTTGTACATTTATGGCTGAAAATTCGAAAGATAATAATGATAATGTGATTTCAATTCAGAGTTTTCCGTTTAGAGAATTGATTCGTAGTTTGTTATATTTGACCAATAGAACTCGATCTGATCATCATCATTTTCAGTTAATGTTTGTGCTAGAAATATGGAAAAACTAACAGATAGTGACATTGTTGATGGTAATAGTATATTACATGCGGAGATGGAAAGTGTTTCATTATTGTCGAGAGATAGTATGGTTGACCGAGGTGCGAAGCGCCGAGGTCAACCAATTGTCGAGACAATATTGGAAAATTGACGTTTTCAATTAAAAGAGATGGACGATAAAGTATGAAAACATTCAGATTCCCGCCAACATTTGCTTGCTCGTCAATGTCAAGTGTATAGGGTGTTTAGCAATCCCCTGGTTTTTATTCTAATCGGTGACTCCACCGATGAGTTAGGTATCTTTGTTCAGTGAATGAAAAATGACAATGACCGACATAGAATGGTGAAATTTGAAATTGGAAAGAAAATGTGGGAAGCAAACAGCTTCCGCAAACTAAACTTGAATGTGGATATCTTTGTATACTTGATGGGTCGTGGATTTCCCTTACTTTTGCGAGTATCAGTTCTGATTTTGTGTATCCAAATTTTGACAAATGTAGGATTTGATGAAAACTTATGGAAAGACACGTCCGCCGGTGAATAGGAATTATTTTCACGAAAAGGCACACTACACACAATCACCATTGTTAGGAAAAAACCTTGAAAAAACCGAGGAAATAATAGTTTCCAGTCTCACACGTATAAAACTCTTGTCAACAAACCATTGTCAATAGCTGTCAATCATTGTTTTCATACTTTTCATACTCTTTTGGCATCTGACAGTCTGACGCCAGAGAGAGAGGCTTCTAAATTGAAAAGGTCAATTATTAAAAAAATAAGGTGAAAATATAACAAAAATAGAATTTCGATTGACAGTCTGTCACCGACATTGACATCTTATGAAATTTCACGTGATTTGTGAATTGAAACTGTCTGATCCAGTCACGTGCCTGTCAGAATTTCGGAGCGAATCGACGAAAAAGATGACAAAAACGAACTCGGCCAATATAAACACATTGGGTACATTCATGCGGTCCCAGCCGCCAAGCTCAGCCACTCAGCAGGGACTCTATTCTCGATACCAAGGAACAGCGTTCTCATAAGAACGATTGCTCTGTCATTGTCAGTGTTATGCCGGACGACAAAGACAGAACCTTCGTTCCAATGAGAACGCTGCTCCCTTGTTTCGAGTTCCCGCTGAGTGGCTGAACTATGCCGCTGGGACCGCCTGAATGTACCCATTGTGACATCTGCTTCTAAATACAAACATTGCACCTGGATATGTGTTTAGGTGTGAAAGAACAATTTATCAGGGCCGAAAGTCCGTTCTCCAGGCCAAAAGTAACAGGAGAACAGTCACTTTCGACCTGCTTCAAAATAAACAAAAGTAAAGTGACATTTTCAAACCTTCAAACCAGCATGGTCAGCGCACTCATATTACCGCTTTGAGCCAGCTTTTTTAGTTCACTCGTGACCGCTGATGGCTCTGCTGGTCTTATAAAGTTATAAAACTGAGGTTATGACAGTGAAAATGAAACAAATACCGAATCTACCTTCATTGGAAATGTCATTGTCATTTGACCTTTTCGTTCATTTGACATTTCAAAAATTAAATATAAATTGTCTTTCAATTTTGTTTATTCTTGTGAAAAACTAGGGACTCGTCAAACCTCTGCAAACAGTGGCGATGATGAATAGAGGCCCCGCAGCCATATTTTTAAAATTTCAAATGTGAATACATAGGAATTATTGGATATAAATGGATATCTATCATCAAAATTTGAAGGTAACATATTTCTCTGACTAAAATTTAAATACGTTATTTTTATTTTTTTATGATAGATATGGATATCCGAGGGGATATTCATTTATATCCTATTATTCATATCAAAAATTTGCAAGAATATGGCGCCACTGTTTGGAGAGGGTCGTGGAGTTACTTTAAAAATTACAGTGAACTATCAATAACAAAGTGCCATCTTTCAGAGAATAACCGAACTATTAATTATAGTTCAGTCTCAGTCGGCAGAGAGCGCTAAAATACGACATGATATGTCAACATTGGAGAGTCCAGTCTATTTACCCCCTATATATTTTAGTCTATGCAAACCAGTAAGGAATGTGAAAATTACATATATGGTTCAAAATAAAATTGTTGAGAACCTATTTTTGATAATTAGGAGAAGGTGTTGAATTATTAATAATAATTACCAAAAATAGCTAAATATATTTAGTTAGCTATGTTCCTGGTTGACTCCATAACAACAATGTTTTGTTTGTATAATAATTGTTATAATTTTCAATTTTGTCATTACAATTTGTCATTGTATTTTGTGTTTACCACATAGAAAAGTGATTTATAAATTCTTAAATAGAACATTCACTGGATTCATCCCCGCCACTTTTTGTTTTAGTTCGTGACTACACCGCTGTACGCCCATATCGCCGTTTCTTAACGTCCCCCTCGTTCTTATTCTAATCTCTGACTTCACAAATGAGTTAGCTATCTTTGTTTAGTGAATAGAAAATGACAATGACCGACATAGAATCGTCGTGTATATAAAAACCAGTCATAAAAACGCAGGTATCCATTTAACATCATAATGAAAATGTCATCCTGTCATCTGAATTAATTTGTTGAGTGCACTGTGAGTGCATTGTCGAAGATTGTTTTGAATTCCAAGACTGTGAAAGAAATGATAAGTGCATCATCATAAGCAGCCGGTTCAAAAGTTGTTGCCACAGTGTGTGACCAGGCGGCAAAAAATGAATAGGCCAAAAGCGAATTGCAACCACAGACCAGGGAAATCTACATCAAAAACAACACAGAAACAGAAATTTTGGTTTTGTTGGAAATAAACAACCTAGAAATCGTATCACTGTATGATGCTCTATACATGCTCGAGGGACTTATAAATAACTTGATCAAATATGGCAGCCTTTTATAACTGGAAAAAAATGGACATTTTCAAAAAGCAGATTGGAAAGTGCTCCAGTCAGCTCATGAATCAGATACCTACGCCAAATCATCTATGAATAGATTATAAACTATTTTATTCTTTGAGTGATTCTCACATAAATATATGGAAATAAAATGTATAAAATTTTAGTTTATGAAGTTTTGAAATAATTGAAATGTCAAACCAGTAATTTAAAACCAAGATTCAAACGGCCCGCTAAATATTAGTTCAATGACTACACCGCTATGGCAGCACCGTCGGAAATGTCACTTGGTTGCACTTGGTGACTACAACAGAAGTGAGCGTTCTATATCAAGCAGGACCTGCGATCTCTCATTGCCAGTTATAAACCACATAATAACTCTTTTCCGTTTTTCTAGATGTCGCTGACAACCACAGAATTGTCAAAATTGTAAAATACCAGCAAATCAAGAACACGTCCGATGTCGATAACTGACATGTCAACAATGACAATATGCCAAAATATTCATTTAATCATAACTAATACCTAATTCATAATGTTTTTTGTTCGCCGGTCTTGTATTTCATCTTTCTCTGTGTTGTCAAGTGTTCTTAAGTGATTTCAAAGTTGTTTTGTGTGTTTCAAGAAGAACTTCAAACTTTATAGATTGGAAGATCTATTTTTATTTTTGTTGATTAGATAAATGACAGGTTCAATTAAACATCAATCAGAACTTTGAAAAAATATGTTAAGGATACCCTTAACCATCGATAAAGAAACTGTCTTTTGATCTAATTAACAAATAATTAATTTAAGCAAACATTAATGCTCTAAAGTCTAGAAGAAACGAATTTGAACAGACCGAGAGTAGCGAACAGGGTGCCATCTATCATAAAATGTCCTATGTAAAGTAGGTGTCTGTAGCATCGATGCAAAACCAGTAAATAGTGATTTTCCGATATGGTAGATGGCGCTGGCTTGGCTCGATTTTGTTGTCAACAAAATTAACACTGAGATTCCATTCTCGACAGTTTATATAGTATTTATCTCTGATATCAAGAATATAAATCACTTTTCTATGATTTACCAGTACGTGGGTTAAATACATAATTTTTGTTTTTGAAGCTGAGTTTTTCAATTAAAACTAAAAGTAAAATCAAACATTTCCTTCATTCCTCTACACAAATTCAAAAATGATTCACTCAGCATTTAAGTCCAATATTTTTATATCACCTTATATTGATTCAAATTGAGCCAATTTAGAAATCACAATTAAATTTCCGGTCAACAATAGAACTGGTGAGGGTACTTATTTATAAACTTCGCCATGACGACGAAACGCATTTACTTATAATTCGCTCGCATATCGATTCCGCAATGTCTCGGCTGACGTTTGTCTTGATTTTGTGCAGTTTTCAAGCGTTTTCCCGAGTGAATTGCAACACAAACCCATTGGAAAATATGGAAAAAGAAAAAGTCGTGCCCGAGGTGATCGACAAAGTGCCCGGCGAAGTGGCCGAAGTCGTTTTTCCTAGCGGAGTTAAAGCGGAAATGGGAAAAACTTTGACACCGACACTTGGTAATGTTTTGTTGGCCGGAGGCCCAGATTTGGGATTTTTTTGTTTTAGTCAAAGACAAACCAACGGTTAAATGGAATGCAGAAAGTGACGTTTTGTACACTGTTTGCATGACTGACCCAGACGCACCTAGCAGATCGAATCCTAAATTCCGCGAATGGCATCATTGGTTAGTTGGAAATATTCCTGGCAACGATATTTCAAAAGGCAAGAAGATAAATTCAACATGGTAACTAGTTTTAGAAATATTCTAAATTATTTCTAGGTGAAATTCTTACTGGGTATGTAGGCGCAGGTCCGCCTAAAGGCAGCGGTTTGCATCGCTACGTAATTTTGGTTTTCAAACAGCCTAAAAAGATTACTTTTGATGAGCCCAGAATTCCAAACACTTCAGGCGATAAAAGGCCTAAATTTTCTATCAAACAATTTGCACAGAAGTATTCGTTGGAAGGCCCGATTGCCGGCAACTTTTTCCAGGCCGAATGGGACGAGTACGTACCCATTTTGTATAAGCAATTGGGATCCTAATGATGTTGTTATTGTTATTACTATTATTATGATTTAAATAAATAATCTTCTTGTATACTCATTTGAACTTTATTCAAAACTTTTTTGGATATTTGAATCCATTGATTAAATTGATTAGAAAAAGAAAGGAGTAATTGAGTGAGGTGGACTTGAAGACAAAGAAGAAATCATAATCATGAACATCACACATCAAATCAGTGGATCAAAAAGAGAAGAAAAGAAGTTAATGGAGCTAAAAAATTGGAATAATCTTTAACTGGACAAGTGGCCTAGTGTTGATGAAAATACATGGCAAAAGTGTAATTTTTCCTGAGATCCTGGAAACCAAGACAAGAAGATAGGTACTCACTTTTTATCTCTTTTCAATTTCAAGCTTCAAGATTTTATCAAAAAATTTCATGCAAGAAATTTAATATATTGACAATTATTTGATTTTTACATCCTTTTAAGATTCCAAGTAGGTAAATTGACAACGATGAAAGTTCTCGATTGATTTAAAACGTCTTTTATATTCAAATTAAAGAACAATCAATGGGACAATTGAATTGGAGTTTGAAAACGAATCTTTTGAAAGAGGATATAGTACTTCATTCAATTACGAAACGCCATAAATCCCTGCAGCTTTTGGATAAACAACATCGTTCCCATTGAGTATTCAGCAAACGTAAAATTTTTGTATGCGTACCGGTATTTTCTTCTTTCTGCCTATAAGCTTCTATAAGTTTTTTTTTTCGCGCGATATATGGTACTTGAATTAGGTATACGGTTTTATTGAATTTAAATCGGAATTGCTAGAATATTTGATTTGATGTTTTCAAGGGCGTGATAACAAGATTTTAACGTGTTTTTAGATCTTTTGCATTGGTGGATGTATGGAGTTTACTTTTCTACCAATTTTTTTCAATTTCTATGTCTCATTTTTTGTCTATTCCTGGCTCTTGAGTGTGGTTCTTTGTTTTTTCTATAAATAAACTTAAAATTGTAGGTTGAGAATACTAATGAACATTCAAGAATCTGAAATAGAAACTTTATGTTTTTATTTTCTAAATTCATTCTTCAATTTCCACTGTCAATATTTCTATCTCATTTTTTGTCTTTTCCTGGCTCTTGAGTTTATGTCTCCGTCTTGCTCTTTTTCGAAATAAACTCAAAATTCTAGGTTGAGAATACTAATGAACATTCAAGAGCCTAGAATAGAAAATTTATGTTTTTATTTTCTAAATTTTTTCTTCAATTTCCATTCTTCATTTCTCAATTTTTCCATTTGAAATTTTTGTCTATTCCTGGCTCTTGAGTTTTTGTCTTCGTCTTGCTCTTTTTCGAAATAAACTCAAAATTCTAGGTTGAGAATACTAATGAACATTCAAGAGCCTAGAATAGAGAGTTCATGTTTTTATTTTCTAAATTTTTTCTTTAATTTCAACTCTTAATATTTCCGTCTCAATTTTTGTCTACTCTGGCTCTTGAGTTTTTGTCTTCGTCTTGTTCTTTCTCAAAATAAACTTAAAATTCTGAGTTGAGAATACTAATGAACACTCAAGAACCTGGAATAGAAGGTTTATGTTTTTATTTTCTAAATTTTTCTTCAATTTCCACTATTCATTTCTCAATTTTTCCGTCTTAATTTTTCCGTCTCAGTTTTTCCGTCTCAATTTTTGTTTATTCCTGGCTCTTGACTTTTTGTCTTCGTCTTATTCTTTCTCGAAATAAACTCAAAATTCTAGGTTGAGAATACTAATGAACATTCAAGAGCCTGGAATAGAAAATGTATGTTTTTTTTTTCTTTATTTTTCTTTTATTTTCATTTTTCATTTCTCAATTTTTTTATCTGAATTTTTGTCTAGGTACTTTAGAGTCAAAAGTCTGGAATAGAAAATTTATGTTTTTTTGTCTGATTTTTTTTCAATTTCTATTCATTTTTACCAAATTTTTCCGTCTCTTTTTTGTTCTGCATTGGTCAATATGGGACAAATTTGACATAATTCAGACGCGCCATTTTCAGACATTGTGACATTGAAATAATACAATGAGGCCATCCCGCCTTTCTTTTTATTGGGTTTTCGAATTGCCTGAATACAATATAGAATGTATGTAACAATAATTTGATCCACCATTCGTTATTCAGTTAGAAAAAAATATCGAATTTGCCGATAAAACGAGTCTATTCAAAACGCGCGCCTAACTTGACGTCACATGATTCTGACCAATAGCATTGTAGTCTTCCAATCCGTCGTCAGAACTAGAAATCAACCAATTAATAGCGATTTCCATTTGTAGAATCGGTGCAAAAAAAAAAATGTATCCTTATCCTTATATTTTACATGCTTTCAGAAAAAGATGCGGATAGACTCAGTGTGCACTGAGTAACAAATAGAAATCGCCATAAGGGTGTGGTTCTAACATTGAAATCTGTCAGTTCTGTGTTGATTTTTTGATCAAAATTAAAATTGTATATCTGGTTGCCTATTTCTCAGGGTTTAGGTCGTCATGAAGTATTTTCGTTCGTCTCCTATTGGCTGGATTCATGATACCTCATAAAGGTGCGAAAACATCAATTCCAAATAATGGCAAAATTTCATTCTTAATAAAATTGTTATGTTTCAATGCATAGATAATTTTATTAATCATAATTAAACGGTAATTTTGGGCAGTAGAAGTACTTGTCTCACCTTAGAAATATTCATTTCAATTTAGCGGGACGGCCCCATAGAACGCAACAAAATGACTGACAGAGCTGTCTAAATAAATGAACAACTTTCCCAGAAAGTACTTATATCTGTCTTTATTCCATTATTATGAATTGGAAAGAAGGAAGGATAAACAATGATTGAAAAAAAAAAAACACAATAATCGCTTCCATTTGTTTGGCCCCTGGTTTAAATTCAAGAGCCGAGAATAATCAAAATTTTGAATTTTTCAACGAATCAAATTCTTTCAGACGCCATTTTTAGACATTGTGACGTTGACATAATACAATTGAAAAACAACAAAATGACTGACAGAAATGTCTAAATGAATAGACAACTTTGTTAGAAAGTATATCTGTCTTTTTTCAATTATTATGAATTGAGAAAGGTCCATAAAGATAGAAAAAAACACAATAATCGCTTCCGTTTTCCTGGCTCCTGGTTCAAATTCAAGAGCCGAAAATAATCAAAATTTTGAATTTTTCAGTCAATCAAATCGATTCAGACGGCATTTTTAGACATTATGATATTGACATAATACAAATGAAAAGCAACAAAATGAATGAATATGTGTCTTTTTTCAATTATAATGAATTGGAAAAAAAGCAACAAAGATAGAAAAAAAATTACATAATAATGATTTTCGTTTTCCTAGTTTGAATTCAAGAGCCGAGAATAATCAAAATTTTGAAATTTTCAATAATCCTTTTCACGTGGCCCCGGTTTAATAAACCGCAACACATCTAAAATTCAAGTGGTATCGATGACGTCACTTTGTAACCGGGTTAGGAAACGGTATATCATTTCTCTAACCAGCGCAGCGATATGTTATCGTTTAAAAGTTAAAACAAAAAAAAAATAATTTGTTAACAACCAATGAAATACATACTACACGTAGCTGGAAGGGGTCCGACCGTTGTCAGACATGGCATTTGTCTCTCTCTTAGTGTGTACAAAAATAGCTATATAGTGGTGGATACCTTTCTCCCTCTAGTTTATTGTTGTTAGGTTTGGTATATTCCTCTTAAAATAAATATAATATTTTTCAGACAAGGTAAGATTTTCATAATTCGCCAATAAGATAAATAGAGAAAGGTATTTTAATTTAAAATCAACTTGAATAAAATTTTTCTAACCGTTCCTTTTCAAGTGACATTTTCAGTGACGTCATCACTTGACATACCGCTACTAACCGTTTTTTAACCTGGTTAGTTTAGGCCGGAGCTACGTGAAAAGGACTAATGAATCAAATCAATTCAGACGCCATTTTCAGACATTGTAATATTGACATAATACAATAATAGAAAAACAACAAAATGACTGACAGAGCTGTCTAAATGAAAAAATGTCTGTCTCTTTTCGATTATTATGTAGTGGAAAAGGATAAACAAAGATAAAGGAATAAAATTACACAATAATTATTTTCGTTTTTCTCTAGCGGGAATATTCAAAATTTTGAATTTTTCAGCGGATCAAATCGATTCAGTCGGAAATTGTGACATTGACACAATGAACTATAAACTACACGTAGGTACCTGGAATGGCCCACGAATAAAATTGAGGCACATTGAGATGGAGAATGTGGGGATTACCTATCTCTATTTATCTTATTGGCGAATTACGGAAATTTTTCCTTGTCTAAAAAATATTATGTTTGAGGTTAGGAATATAGCAAACCCTATCCAAACCTAACAGCAAGAAACTAGAGAGAGAGAGGTGTCCCCCACTATACCACGCGAATTGGGAAAGAATAGCAAAAAGTCGCTTTAATTTTCCTGGCTCCTAATTTTTTTTCAATAGCCGGGAATAATCAAAATTTAAAACAACAAATTGAATAGATGTCTCTCTTCAATATTATTGGTGACAGAAACTACAAGATAGACATTATAAGCCAATTTTAAGCGAGTGACCGATCGGTCATCTTTGCACTGGCGCCGACTACATGGGGGCATCGGGGCAGGTGCACCCATGAGCAACCTCTCATGGGTGCGGAGCACCCATGGGAGCTCTCGTAGGAAATACGGAAGTACAAACGTGTTTAATGCTCATTCCGTTCCATATGGTAATATCCAGTATCATGTAATTTAAATGTACACAACTTTGTATAAGAACTATACAAGTGGTGTGTGTGTGGTGTGTGATATTCTGTCCATCTGCCCTTCCGTTATTTCTGGTCAATTCTATGCTCTAAAAAATTATGTAGGCAAAATTATTCTCTTGGTTTTATTCAACAATAATGAGTAAAAAACCGATAATTTTTTTTTAAATTTTTTTCTTATGAGTGTTTATGAGCAAAACAAGCCTTTGTTTTTTCGTCATCATTTGAAAACCGCTAAACCAAATGTTTCCAGAATCGAGGATTAAATTAAGAATAAAGAGACCTTCAAAACGATATATCACTCGACACCGCC